TGTGTAGCTCCAATCTTATGATGTGTCGGTTTCGTTGAGGCTATAACTGAGACCAAACTGTAAACAGGATCGAAGGTGAAAGAAAACAAGAATTAAAACCGAGCAATGTAAAAAAGAAAACGCTGGTCAGCGCTACAACTTGGATTAGACGGAACACTTTCACGCGGCCGGACCAACGACCGCCAGTAACTTCATGTCGAACGTTACGCAGGTTACTGCCGTGCGGGTTACTCCGTGCTCTAGAAACACGCACCGTGCTCTACCTTCCCCGACTGTCTTGTCCGGCCGTTAAGGGCTCGCTAACCAATATCAAGGAGAGAGAGGTCAAATGCCCAAGGTGTCTACTGTAAAACAAAATACCCTAAAAAACAGTTTCGTGAAGTACTATAAGTAACGATACGCCCTACAATTCCGTAAGGCTACCACATATTTGTTTTCAACCATAGAGCTCGGTTAAAGAACTTTGAATGCGGGATGGGTGGAAATTCATTTTACATTGACATATAAACAACTATTTTTCCTAACCTGATAAAATCTATTAGTATCCTTTCTGTTCATACCGTGGGGAAGTACGGAACACTGGGTCAGGTAGGGATAAATTAAAATATTTTGTAGTCACCTTACTACAACCAATAATGGGACATAGATATAGAATTTCGCTACATGTCTTCGCGCGTGTACCGTGAAAAGGGTTTACGACACCTTACACACACTATACCATTACAGGAAGGACACTATTTTGGATAGTGTAGAGTCCTCCTTTTTTATGCGGAAATTTTCCGTGTCTCGTTATATACCTTCGCCCTTGTTACACAGTACACAATACCAAGTCGGGTCACACTGGGTCTCAATTCAATTCGGCACCACTGGCCATACCATTGATCACACCAAGTCGCTTGTCGCGGAGGTGACGAGAGAGATCACGACACTTGCCAGCAGTAATTATGACTCAGACCCCGACTCGCGACCCGGCCGACATACCTGGAGGACGTGGGGATTGTCGCGGAGAATCGTAGGGAGAGTGGGCCGTTCCCCTCCCTCCTTCCGCCTCCCTGTCTTTTGTGTCTTCCTTCTCCGTCTTTGTCGTGTGTATCGTCCGCTTTCTGGGGACGACACGTAGTGCATGTCGAGGAACAAACAACGACGGAACCCCAATGAGTGGTTGTCCCGCCATCTCTACGTGCTCTCCATACTTGGAATAAGACCTAAGGTAAGTGCGGTCCGAGGACCCAATAAAGGGGGAGTCCGAGGTCCGACTGCAACGAAGTCGGCCGACAGAAAACTCGTCGACGCCAAATCGCCGTAACAGGTCGTGCACGCAATTATCTGGGAATAGTCGTCGGCAATTCGGCAAGTCGTACATGTAGCCTCCGTCACGGTCTTTCTCGACAGACTGACCCGACCGAGTCGGGGACACCTTAGTCACCAAAGATGTAGGAGGACGGGAAGGAGGGAGAGGGAAAGGAATATTCCCGTACGCATCTCCGCGACAACCAAGTAAATCAGTATGTTCGCCGGAGGTCGAGAGTCGGGTCTGAGTCACTAATTGACGCGGCAAGTTGTGAATTTGTAAATGAAACAAAGCGACTGTAGATCAATGGTATGCCAGGCCTGGAATGGAATTGAGACGCCAGTGTGACCCCACGACTGGTATTAAGTTACGCTGGTGTAAACAAGGGCGAAGGGTATATAAGGACCGGAAATGTTCGACAAAAAACAGAGATACATTCTTACACTATACAGCTAAATAGTGTCTTTCGCTGTAATGGTATAGGTGTGTAAGGGTCGTTAACCCTTTCACGGTCCACACCGCAAAGACATGTAGCGAAATTCTATATCAATGTCCGCAGGGATTAGAGGGTAGAAAGGTGACTTACAAAGAATAGATTAATTTTAATCCCTACACTGACCAAGTTTCGGTACTTCCCACGGTATGAACAGAAGATACTAATAGTACAATTTATAGTGAGGAAAAATAGTGTTTATAATGTTAATGTAAAATGGAATTTCCACCCCATCCATTCAAAGTCTTTATACCGAGTCTCTATTTGAAAAAACAATAAAGGTACCTTACGAGAATTGTAAGAGGCTACTCGTTACTATAGACTTCACTGATAACTGTTTTTTTTATTTTGAGGTATTTTTACCAGTAGACACCTTGGCATTACATACATTGTTGATATTGGTTAGGCGAGCCTCCTAACGGCGGGACCAGACAGGTCTGGAAGGTAGCAGCACGTGCGATGTTTCACAATAGAGCACTAGGGAGTAACCCGCACGGCAGTAACCTGCACGTAACGTCGACCATGAGTTACTGAAGCGGTCGTTGTCCCGCCGGTGAAAGAGTGTCGCGCGAGCGCAGGACAAGTTGTTATCTAGCCTTCTGTTGACCAGCGTTCTTTTTTGACAGATGCCTCGATTATAAATTCTTGATGTCTCTTTTCACCCGTATTTCGCGGATCAGTAGTCGGCTCTCAAGTTGTAATAGCTCGAACGATAACCGACACATCATATACTGATTGGGAGCTGACACTAAGATCGATAACGGCTGGGGTGTCTGATTACGAGTGTAGACGTCGGACGGAGGTGCCTCCTCCACGTAGGCAAATTCCTGTCAAGTACTCTGCCTTATCTGCGCGCTGTCGCAAGGAAAACTGGAGCGAGGTACAGTGAAAGTGTGTTAAGAGGTGATGATCTGGTGTGCGCTAAGACGTTGTATAGGGCGACACTGCGGAGACCGGTGTTTCAGGTGATATAGTATGTGATTACGATGAAACGAAACGCTACATTTGAGGACGTTAGACTGCAGACTGTATTTGACGAGTATGCCGTAGCAAGGACAACAAACAGCAACCGGAGTTAACCCGAGTTCACAAAAAGGGAGCTTGTATAATATTTATACATTATAGTTGATATGTAACGTTACTGCAGCCTGCTCTCGCGGAGGAGGTGCTCTGTCAGGAAGTCTGAAGGAAGGGGCGGATTCTTTTTGGCTGTGTACTTTCAAATTTTAGTCCACTCGAGCCGGTTTCTGAAACTTACCTACCGCACCTTTAATATCTCCAACAAAATTATAATCTACATCTTCCTTTCTTTACGGACACTGCAATCTGACGTCTGACATAAATTCTGCTCATACGGCATCGTGTTGCTTGCGTTGGTCAATTAGGACAGTGTCTCATCGACATATAATAAATATTGTAATACAAATTAGTTTTTTTAGATGAATTATATAGAAATGTGGCTTATTTTGACAGCATCACCACAGTCAAGCATAAAAAAAACAATAGCTCTTATTTCCCATACTTATACAGATGCTTTCATACACATCTGGGGTGAAAGACAAAACATGAGTGAGAGGAACTGGAAAAGATAAAGCGTTCAAGTGAAAGAGTTTGTTTCTGTCTGTGTGTGGTTGTGTGTGCGTGAGTGTGTCAGGGAGCAAGGCAGAGGCAGAGTAATTTAGTGAAGTGACTCTGCGTTGACCTTTAGCAACTCTCCAGAGCAATGTCAAATTCAATTTCACCCCTCTCCAAGGGAAGCAGCACATGTGTGGTAGAACAGGTGTTCTTCACTATTGTATACTTCTTTAAGGGAAGAGAAGAGACGTTGGGAGATCAGTACATCCTCAAAGGTAAATCCTCAAATCTTCAAACAGGCAGAGGTCAACATGTGAGGCAGTGAGAGAGAGGGGATGTGAGGGATAAAAGGATGAGAGAACAGATAGAAAACAGAGAGAGAGAGAGAGAGAGAGAGAGAGAGAGAGAGAGAACATGAAGAACAGAGAGGCGCTTCATGTTGAAGGGTTATAGTCTGCTTCAACCTCGTATTCAGTGGAAATGACAAAAGTCAAAGCTACAGTGGCTTTTATAGAAGGAGTATTATAAAAAAATATATAAACACGTCCTGTTGATACCCCTGGTACCCGTCACTGATTCACTATATTAGTGTCAAATAAGCATAATCCCCCCAAAAGTGTAGGGGATATATTATTAAATTCAAACAGCAGGTACCAAAAAAGGCATACGGTGTGGAAGTAAACTGACTTTGATGAAAAATGTGTTTCACAGGAGTACAGTCGTCATAGCAACCTGTAACAAAAACAGGAAAATAGCCCCCTTTAAAGTGAAAGTCTGAAATAAAATAAAGAGCAGCAGGATTGAAATGTAATTGCCTTTGGTCAAACCAGAAAGTGGCATAACAAAAATGATTCCCTATGAAGAAGGTTATGTTGGAACATCACGTGGTTAGCAAGCTAACAGCTAACATGCAGGTCACCGCTAATACTGGCCGGCCAGGATAGTTTCTATTGAGAACTGATGACTGAATAAAAAACATTCAGCTTCTTTTGTGGAGCAGTTTATAAACGACATACTAGAATTGTATAAAAATGGTAATAGAGGATTTTAATGAATTCGTATTTAATTGCCGCACATACAGCATGGCACACAGTAAAATGTAGTGTCTGAATTAAACCCATCCTAGTATTAGTACATTAGTATTAGTAAACTGGATGGTGTGACACATCTAGTATGATTTATTTTCTTCGAATTTCAGACTCTGGATCTCATTCTGCCCAAAATATCATGACCGCCTGCAAAAGTTTACCAAAGTGGAACTTTACATGAGCCCTGCATGGATTAGCTTCGCTTACACAAGCGAATCCTCTGTTTGGAGCAATTCCGTTGAAATGGAGAAAAAAAGAAAAGAAAAAGTCACCGTTTGGTTTCTTGGACAGTGTTATAGTTCTTTACAAAATTGAGAGGTAATTTTGGGTAAAAGAGTGGGATCAGAGTCATAGCTACACTCTACTCCTTTGAGCTTGTCAAAAACATATTGCGAAACACCAGGAAATTCAGCAATGTCAGTGTGGGGGAAACTTCTGTGTAGCAATGCAGTGGGAGTCACCGACTCAGGAAGGAGACGCGGGATGAGCAGGAG